TTATAATTGTAATATATAATAGAGTACATATAAATAATAATAACAATAAATGTCTTTATTGTAAATTATTAAAAATGGTTTACAAAAAGCGAATATAAAACACATTTGTCGTTTATGGCTTTAACACCCCCGTGATGCCATGGAATCATAAATTTTCCTAAATAAAGGCAATTTAATCAAATATATATTAATGTTAGTTTGGGATAGTTATTACAAATATATACCGACTACAAAAACAATGAAACGCAGAAACATCGTGTTTGAATTAAATTTTTGTTTTAAGTGTGTTTGTTCAAAGACTGCTCATGACCCTATTTTCGTGCAGTTTTTATCACCTTTCAAAGACTTTTTTGCATTAAGGAACAAACAATTATTTATGCTGTTATCGTTGTTTGTGCCTTTGTCTCTCTACAAGCTGTTATATGTGAATTTTTAAAAAGGTATTGTGGCCCGGGCGCGAGTTAAGCTTGCTACGCCACTGCTTTCCGATTATCTAAATGGGGGGGTAGGTGGTAGACATTTTTGAAACATGAAGTTTTTGAAACATGATGCAACAGTCCTTATTTTAACAATATAATTAGTATCTCTGCCACTTTTGTTTCTCCAAGTACAAGGTGAGTTTATAATTTACTGCCGAATTTTAAACAATGATGTCCACATATGTTCTCTAAATATACAATAGATATATCACAAGTGTAATACTTATATTGCTTAAATTCGTTATGTATTTCAATGAAATTATTAAACTAACTGAAAATCATGTATTTATTCGCACGATATTTTTTATTAATGTTATGTTGCAGGTTAACTTCATACAATTAATTGGTGGGAGCCACAAAGGTGAGGCGGTGGGCAGAGCACTACGTCAAATTATAACAACTGAAGTCGCCGTCTTATATAGCTTCAAAGGCAAAAAAGGAGAAAAAAGTTTTCAAAAACTTTTTATTTGCAAGCGACTTATTGGTAAAATACACTTTGAGTTGGATTTATAAATGATAAAATATATCTTTTTTATTACAGATGGCTTGCTAAAAAATCCGCTTTTCATAGCAGCCAGGAAATATATTGAAATTGAAATTCAAAATTCGCTCAGGCACGCGCCGGAAAGACTCAAAAGGGACAAAAATAGCAATTAACACTTTTAATATTATAGTTCGGTTTCGGATAGAAGAGCGAATTTCGATTCATAGCAAAAATAAGTTTAGTTTGTAATATGTAAACGTATTTTGTTTATTTTGATGTATAGGTTTTTGGTTCAGTATTTTGTTTCTTTTAAATTGCTTCCACCCTAAATTTCCAAAATTATAAAGCTGCCTTTAACGTTTGTCGACAGTTGAAAGAATTGGAAAAATTATTTTTAGAAAGAAAACCTAGCAATAATTTGACGGTTGACTATTAACCTAAGAACGTTTCACAGATGTCCTCGAAACAACCCGTCTATAATCCCAGTGATGTCCCAAGTGACCTTTACAGGATCATCCCAAACGTGACCCGAACAGACGTCCCCAGATCTAGCAACCTAAGCCTATACCCTGTAATGACGTCTGTGGGACATCTCAGGGACCGAGGTGTGTTTGCTGGGTAAATTCATAACTTCGTAAAAGACCGTAATTTAAGCTGCCCCAAGTAACTCAACTATGACCCAGACTATGCAAAATGCGGAATTCCAATAAACATTTACTTACTTGATCGGCAAATTCCCAAGAAGAAAATCCCGCTCATAAACAGGGTGCGCTTCGAAATATCCAGACGGTCGCAAATCGGTGGCAAAATCAAGCGAGCCAAAATATCAGTAAAGGCTTGCACCGATAGAAATAAAGCAACGTCGTGTTTCTCATAGTTGATGCTCTTGAAGAAAAATGGCATCACCATCTTGAAATTCTGCTCCGCCACGTAGAAAACCGATAGGCCAAAAACCAAATTCAGATAAATGGGGTCCTTGAGCAGATCGAAGTCCATAAATTCGACGACTTTCTGCCAGGACGTTTTCTGTTTTTCCTGCTCTTTCACGGGTTCCTTTTGTGGTTCCTTGACAATTTTCGGTTGCGGCGAAAATGGCACTCCCGGGTAGCTCATATTTCGTCGAAGCCGCGATGGTTGTTCGCTGGATATTGTTGATTCTTGAGTGTCTGGAGTCTAAAGACAAAACATTTAGCCCATTGCAAACCATGCTTCTAAGAGAACCTACATCAATGGCCAATTGTATGCTGGATCCAGTAAAATCCAGCCTGGAATAGCTGCTCATGATGGACTCTTTTGAGGTTCTTCTTCGAGCTCGATTTCCTGCAAAGCTCATCGTCGAGAAGTTCCTAGGGAAGGTGGCCTTCCTGGTCAGGCCTCCTGCTTTCAGTTCTTCAAACGTCCTCACCATTAGATTGTTGGAAATTAGATTGTTGATCTCATCTTGTTCTGCTTCGTCGTCTTCTCCGTCCTCTTTGATGGTTTCCATTTCCTGTAAAAGCCAATACATATTAATGAATGAAGGAAAATTGATGCCCACATGCACTTTTTGGATAAATCGGTATGAGTTTCATGCAGCCTTTGGAGGACAAAACTATGCAAACAAAGCAACTGATAAACAAACTATGGATGTTGCAGACTTGGAGAAATTTGTCGAAACGTAGCTTTCCAAGCAGTCCAAAAACGTTTGCAATTATTAAAAATATTAAAAGTTGCTTCAAAAATACTTCATGCTGTTAACTCTTCATTCCCAATTCGTTACCTCACTGGATGCAAAGAAGAAATGTATTCGCTGCAGCAAAGTGGAAAAGTAACTCTTTAATACACTCCAGGTCCGGTATTAGCCCAATTCAATAAATTACCTGCTTATACTCGCCTTCCTCCAAACTCTTCTCTTCGGGAATGTAGTGCCACTTAGCGGGCTGAAGTAAAACAGAGCCAACCAGGGAATTAGCCGCAAATGCCCCCAAAATTAATATTGCAGCTGAAAGTTGAGTTCAGCCTCAGATTTCAACTGATTTCAAGTTGCTGATGGTAACTTACCTCGGAAGCCGTAGTTGTCCAGAAGAAGAGTAACAGCCTGAGGCATCAGCATCATCCCAAAGGCAGTTCCAGCTAGAGAGAACCCGATGGCTTGCCCTCGGCGTTTCACGAAATAGTTGTTTAGGGCCACAAATGTAGCTGAGGCAGTCAGGCCTACTCCGAGACCTGCAATTAAACCGCTTTATTAAAGAAATGGGACGAGTACGTCGTTTCAACGTGACAATCACGTCGATATAAGGTTGTCAATAATAAAAAATGTGAACGGGCTAAAAGAACAAGTGACGTATAGTTTATAGTTGTGCCTCATTCATTTCACGGATACTTGAATATTTGTATTTTTTGCAAAATTACTTGCCCGAACTTTTGCAAAACATTCCTGTTCATTTAAGGCAAAGTCTGTAGCTACAGCATGACGGTGCTTCTGCACGCTTTGCGTTAAATGTAAGACACTATTTAAATTGAGAATTTGAAGATAGATGGATAGGCCGTGGCGGTCCCGTTTCTTGGCCACCTAGATCGCCAGACTTAACAACATTGGATTTTTTCTATGGGGTCGCATAATAAACATTGCATATCAAACTGTTCCGATTACTGCAGAAGATATAAGACACCGAATAGTACATGCATTTAGAAATTGTACAAGCATTGAGAAGTTACGAGACGTAAAGAGGTCTTAGCTGGCATGACTGCAGTTTTCGCAGAGGACCATTTGGGAATCTTTTATAAACACCGCATTTGTTTAAAAATAACGCTTTATTTAATGATTTTAATTTAATAATGGTAAGTTTTTTGGTTACTGCATTTTTAATGGTAGACAGGTGCCCAGTTGACTTGATTTAAACAAAAATCAAGCTATTTTCCAAATTTTGCGGAATAACTTAGAAACGGTAAGATTTAAGGTTACCACACCTGACTTAGCTTTAAAATTTGATGGTAAATCCAAAAATTGGAAAAAAAAATTGGGGGTTCCATTTGAAATAAACAAGTTATTGAGATTAAGCAACATGCAATTACGGATGCTCATTGGGCTGTTAATTGGAAACAGTTGGTAAATTAACATATGCTAGACGTAGCTTGTTTAGTCCTTTTGGAGGTTCACAAGACCGATTTCAAAATTGGTAGCGATTAGGGTACAGCGCCAAATTCTGTGGAACCCCGCAGTTGTCAAAATTTTCATATTTTCATCAAATTTTTCAAGTAAAACTTCTTCTTCTTATTCTTTGTAAATACCCTTTGGTCTGTTTATTTCGTCTGGTCAATGTTGTTGATTCTCCTGTGATATGGATGTCCAACTATCTTTCCATCTTTTCGGTGTTCTTCCGATGGGTCTTTTACCAGCTAGATTTCCATTCGACACAATCTTGGCTATTCTTTCGCGGTCCATTCTTTCTACATGGTCCCGCCAGCATCTTCTGCGCTTTCGTCCCCATCTGATTACATCCTCCACCTTGCAGGTCTGTCTTATTATTGCGCTTCTCACTCTATCCCGTAGTGTTTTTCCCGCTATTGACCTTAGAGTCTTCATCTCTGCCGTTCTTTACATACATTTTGTTTTGTTTGTGTCTGCTCGGGTCTCGATGCCATAGGTGAGTATTGGTCTTACGCACGTTTTGTATATTCGAACTTTACTGTCGATCCTCATATGTTTGTTGTTCCATATGACGTCTCTTAAGCAACCTGATGTTAACGAGGCTTTGTTGATCTGGGATTTGAGATCTTTAATTGGTTCGTTGCGGCTAGAAATATCCACTCCATGGTGTCTGAAAGTTGTGACTTGCCCGACAATTATTTATAACCGGCTTACATCTCGTTAGTTCCCTGGCAATTGTCATACATTTTGTCTTGGATATTGATATTTGCACATTAAATTGTGTGCTGACCTGATTGAATCTGTGAAGTTGTCTTTGCAAATTGTCCTCCGTTTCTGCCAATATTGTCGCGTCATCAGCGTAGCAAATGATGCTAATCGATTTTCTGTTGATCCTATACCCCATTCTTAAGCCGCTGATCTCTTAAATGATGTCGTCCATAATCAGGGTGAACAGAAACGTGCTTACCATATTCCTTAGCTTATTAGCTTTTTTGTATTTAAAGCTAAATTAAAACTTGAAATAATTTTTTTTGTAAAAAGGAGATTGTTTGGTTTTGCCTTGATTATTTTTTGAAAAAAGCTTGTTAGTATAACGCCCGAAAATCCGAGAAAACTGCCAGTGACGCGATTTTTCTCCGTATTTCGAGTTTGGAGTTGTTCATTCGAATCATGTATTTACGAATTTTATTTCAAAAAATCCCATATGTCTAACGGCCAGATTACTCTTTATGTTGCATCAAAAATTCCGGAAAACTTTGCCAGTGAAGTGACTTTATGGCACTCGAATGAAGTAAAAGGGAGGATTGAAAGAATTCTGGGTTTATCTTAGTGAAATTTAAAAAAAATCTTGTAATTTGGACACCCTGTTTATTCGCTCCCTTGGGCGAAAAATTCCTGGGAAATCTAAGATAGTCGCTAGTGACGTGATTTTTTGCGTGCTTGCGTTGCGTGCGTTGAGTTATTTCGGTTTTAAGGAAATATGGGCAGGTTTTAGCGGGTTTCGATTTTCTCTTTCCGAATGTTAAAATGGTTAAAAAATCCAAGAAAGTTTCCAACTAAGTGAATTTTTGAGTGCTTGCAGTTTGGAGTAAACTATAAGTTTCCGATTTTAGCGACGAACCAATCGAAAAAATGTTGGCAGAAATATCCTGAAATATAAAATAGACGTAAAATATGCCTGAACGAGACGTGCTGAATAATTTCAATTAAGGAAGTGACCACAGATGGTTCGAGCAGATATTGCAATCAAAGCTGAACTTGAAAGGCGAAAGCTTGTCCAAAACAAAACTTACCCAACTACGGAAAGGCAAATGAGACCGAGTATCAAACAACCATAGAAGCAAAATTGCAACCGTTAAGCAACCTAGAGAAAATGAACCTCAGCCAACTATCGACAACACTTGGTAACAGTATCCAAGTAGCAGAAATTCGAAGTTCAGTCCTCAAACTTTGGAGCTACTCGGTCAGAGAAGAAGAACAACGAGAAATTCCAACGAATCTAGGGAGTTGTGCAGGACATTAAACAAGGAAACTCGAAAGGACCTAAAGAACCATAACAGCCAGCTCATGCAAAGCGGAATAGAAAATAGCTCTACTATCAAACTACTCAAATCACGTATCTAGAATGGAAAGAAAAAAGTGTTCTAAATTAAAAATCAATTGGGGAGAACGGGATGGAGATACGCAGGAAATTGTTTGTGTAATTCGGAGCTCCTTCAAAGATCGGTACGGCTCAACTATACCAAAACCAGAAAGCAAAATGTCGACTCAGAAGAAATTCCCGAAACAACGAGGGCAAAAATTCAAAAGGCGCTGAAGCAAATTAAGCACGCGAAAGCTCCTGGTGGAGACCGCATCACTGCTAGAATGCCAAAAATGGGAGGAGCAGCTCTGGGGAGGGCACTTTGTGTCTTGTTGAATAGATACATAAGCGAGGAAAGAATCGTTGAATCCTGGCAAAATACCGAGTTTATCCTGGTCTGTAAAAAGGGGATAATACTAACATCGCCAACTATAGACTAAAAAGCCATCTTTGACGTGAGGGCACTTGGGAACCTGAGAGTTCGTGTTGAATCTCAGCACGCCAAGAGCCAGCTGACACAGTGCTTCCGGTGTCAGCTCTATGGACATGGACAGTCCAAATGTAC